TCCTGTTGTTTGGCAAAGTGATTTAAAATATTAAAAATTGACTTTGGAATGTAATGAGAGAAATGCAATTTTGTATCTATACTAATGACGTTGCTACAGATGAGGAGGGAGGCTGTAGGTAATTTGTAGCGCTGCATATAGAATATTCTACATTCTATCCCTCCAGCTCCCCCCCCTTTTTTAAAAGACCTCTTGTCTGAGGCCTCCAAGAACTGCAGGCTCAGGACTGCTTTTCTGGTTCAGACCAAAGGCCTGTCTAGTCTAGCATTTTGTTTTCACCATGGCCAACCACAGGCCCATGGGAAGCTCACTTTGGAGGCTGGCTTCCTTAGGCAAGTAGGGCACTTTCCCAGCAAGGCAGGTCTACCACCAGCCAGCCGCCTCTTGCCTGCCTTCTTACTTTCAACGCATCCAGGGGGTAGCACTGCCTATCAGCTTCCTCCTCCGTGGTCTCACTGTTGCCACTGTAGAAAGAAGAGAAATGGAGTAACAAATGATGGCCCCCATGTGTTTGTCTGATCTCCTTTAAGAAGACCACCAGCCTTGCATGTAAAAGATCCCAGGTTGAATCCCTGACACCTCTAGCTGAGAAATTCCCCTGCCTTAAATCGCGATAGCTGTTGCCAGCAGTGGCCTAATGTGGGTTGCCAGCACCCAGGGCCACATGGAAGGGCTGGGTGGGAGGGAAATGGATGGAGTATGCATGTGCATTCAACTGCCTCAGGGTGTCCATGTCATGGAAGATCACAGCTGCAGAGATAAGAAAAGAAGATCACGTTGTGGTTCATATGGGGAAGCCGTTTTCAACGGAGTTCAGCAATGGAAGCACACAGCTGTATCAAGGCAGTACTGGGTGTTGAAAATTCGTGCCCCTAACCATTTTGCACATGGGACAACCACCCCTGAGGGCCCCCCACGCTATGCCACTGGCTGCCAGTCAGTGTGGACAATACTGAGCTCAATGGTCTGATGCTGTATAAGTGTCAAATATACATGCAGTATATGTAACCCATTTTCATTCAAACCAAGATTATTCATTTTCATAGAGTTATACAAGACTCCTCTTAAAAGAAGGCATGTGCAGGATTAACCAGTAAATCTTATACAATATTTACTGGGTAATACCATACATGGCTCCTTTAAAATAAGTTGAGTTCAAGGGGGGTTCCTCCCAGGTAAGTGTATTTAGGATTCAGGCAAGCCCACAACATTTTAGCACCTGAGGCAAACCACAAAATGGCGTATCCTCCACCAGGGGAAAAGGAGTGAGTGAAGATCTACATCAGGAACAAGGGGGAAAGAAATATCTACATTGGGAACAAGGGACTGAGTGATGATCTACATCAGAAACAGGGAGGGGTGGTGGTGGAATCAAATCAACCTTACCCAACAGCTGAAGTGGGAATCAACTTTGGGGGCGGGGAGCGGCTTGCTGTGAATTACGCTGGGCAGATGCAGACTCCAGAGGATTCCAAAGGGCAATATTATCTTGGTTGGCTGTCTCTGCAAAATTCCATATAGCCAAAGATCTCATAGATCCAGGAACATGATTATTTTAAGTAATTTAAAATGGTGGTATGCCACTGTAGATGGGAGCCAAGCTTGGCTCCAGTTCCAAAGCTGCATCGCCACCCTCCCAGCTCTAAAATTCCCATCAGGGGTTCAGCAAGGAGGAAGGTAGGTGCGTTGCTGCCACCATCATGGTAACAGCATCAAGGGGCAGGTAGGCTTGGGCACATCAGAGTAGTAAATGTGTGTATTGGGGGGCAATCGGCAGGCCCATGCAGACGTCTAGCACCAACCATACCCTAGAGAGCTACTGGCAGTAATCCAAATATAAGAAGCCAGATGGACCAATGGTCTGGTTTATTTGAGGCAGCTTTACTATGTGTGCCTACAAATATCACGTCAGATGTCTGCTGTGAACTTACCATCCATCTGCAGTTTTTCCACAGCAGTGATCCCTTTGCAAGCTGGTGTCAGCTACAATAGGAGAAGCTCCTTACTGTTGTTATCCTATACTATTTCAATGTTGTTCATTTTCTTTAGGCAAATCCTCCTCCTTCTTTTTTTGAAAAAATTGCACTTCATTTATATGCTACTCAGAGATTTTCCTCCAAAGCCACTGTTATCATCACCAAGGTAGGCAGGTAGCCACAAAGGTAACAAAGCATTCTCCTTATTTGTTTCGGCAATGACCAATCATAACATTTGCTGCTTGTAATAAAATGAGCTTGTATGAGAGAGCCAGATGCCCTGTCAGAAGTCTACTGTCACAGTTTACTGGCTAATCAGGAAAGAATTGAAATCTTGATTGGCTTTATTTGTTGGCTGATTGAAACAGTGAGATAGGAAGTCCTGGACAGATTAATTAATTTGTGCTGGGGAATCCGAACTTAATCTAAAGGATGCTGTCAGTTTGAGTGATGGCTGTGTAAGAGAAGAAGTGGTGGGTGTGTTTTTTTTAACACTTTCACTTTTGTGGCACCTTAATATAGGGCTTTGTCTATTTAACCAATTCATTTCTTCCCCTTTCTACTGAAAATATATGCCCAACCTCCATATCAATTACCAGCTGATTGAAGATGTATGGGTGATATGCATCCCAACTAATGCATTCCATCAGTACAAGGATTTCCACTTGCACCCCTCCCTCGGCTCCCCATGTGTGCCCAAATCTGCTCTGGAGGGTTGGGGGAAAGCCCAGAACAGATTTAGGGGGTGGGATGTGGCAGAGAAGGAGTAAGCTCCATTGTATAAGTGGAAACCCTTCTGCTAACCAAACATGTTTGTGGGATACCACACTCTAATTCTACTGTCAGAGGGAAGTATGGCTTTGAATACCATTTGCTGGGAATGGTGAGTGGGGAGAGTACATTGCTCTTTGCCACAGCAACACGCTACCCATCTAGCTGTGCTTCCGCTTCCTGACTCCTGGTATCCTGACTCTTGGACCCTTGGCTTCCTGACTCCTGGACCTTTGGCTTTCTGACTCCTGGTTTCCCGACTCTCGGCTTCCTGACTCCTGGTTTCCTAATTCATGGACTCTTGGCTTCCTGACCCCTGGACTGCTGACCCTGGACTGCTGATTCCTGCATCCTGACCTCTACCCCGGTCCTGACATACCAAGCCGGGACTCTGACTGTCTGTAACCCAGACCGTGACAGTAATATGCTCAAACCATCTTCCTCCAGTGAGCAACATGACCATGGAATTCTACACCAGCTGAAGTTTCCGAACCATCTTCAGAGGCAGCCCCACATATAACACATTGCAGTAATATAACCCAGACGACACCAGACCATAGGCCACAGAAATTAGACTATCCCTAAATTAGGGTTGCAGGAGGGCCACCAGCCAAAGCTGATGGAAGACAGAGCATGCCATAGAGGCCACCTAAGCCTCAAGGAACAGCAAAGAATCCAGTAGTACCCCCAAGCTACATACCACTCCTTCAGAGGAGTGTAACCTCATCAGATCATTGGATCATCTTCATGACTAATATCAACACTGACTGGCAGAGGCTCTCAAGAGCTTCAGGCAGTAGCATTTCCTGACCCTACATGAAGATTCCAAGGATTGCCCCTTTAAAGAAGGTAGGTAGGTAGGTAGATGATAGATGATAGATAGATAGATAGATAGATAGATAGATAGATAGATATCCAAGATTTAGGGGCAAACTGCCTACTTGTGGATGCTTATAGGTGAAAAGGGTGAAATAAGAAATAAGTGCATAGATTAATTAAAAAAGCAAGGCAGGAGGTCTTCTTGGTGCAGAAACACCAGCCTCTCCTGTATCATACCAACAGCATACAATCAGGCACAGAGATTGACTTTCTGTTGCCAGTCTAGTCCACACGAAATTGGCACATGGCTTGTTGATCTGAGGAAGTCAACAGTGGTCAAACGATTCTGGCCATGTCATACCCTCCTGAACCACAGCAGAGTGTCCATGCGTATTTCATCCATAAACAGAAGACAAATCCCTTACAATCCTGTGAATAATTATTCTCTGAATTGTCATAAATATTTCCTCCAAATATTATGGGAAATATAATAGAAACAGTTGCATATGCATAAGCAAGCATTATAGCTTTTTCCCACAGAGGCACCAATTCTCTCTCTCTCTCTCTCTTTCTCTCTCTCTCTCTCTCTCTGTTTCTCTTCCTTGCCGGCTCTTATAAAGCACTACAAAATAATTTCTTTATCCAAAAGCTCTGAAGCAGTTATTAAACCAGCTGTTTTCAAAAGTACACAAATCTGCTAAGTTGCAGTTGGGTAACTGTTAAATGTTAAAGCAGTGAATGATCAGCATGTAGCAGATGGCCGGGGAATGGGTTAGAAAATGGCAAAGTTAATACCACCAGACTGAGATGTTCATTTGTGCTGTGGTATGCGCAGACAGGGTGAATAATGAAGGTTCTGTAATAATTGTGTAAATCCCAACATTATTAAACTGATTCAGCTGGGGTTTCATAATATATGGGAAGCACTTGATGTACTTTGAGCAACACCTCCTCTTTTGCTAAAGCTGTTCTCATTAACTCATACCGCTTTATTTGCTGTGACCTCAGTGTTCCTGTTTAGTAATGAGTGGAATAAGAATTAGAAATCTGCTTTCAATCTCAATATTCAGAGGAAGGGAAAATGCAAAGGCCTGGATATGGTATTGCCATGACCCTCAAAGGGTAGGTAACGCTTGTATACAGACCAAATGTTTAGCTCTGAAATTTGCAAGAGGGCCAGGCATCTATGAATAATTCTGATTGCCTATAGATGAGCTATAGATTATCATATACTATTGATGCTCATATGGAGCAAGATGTACGTGTGTAATATCACTTATAAAAGTGGGTCTCAAATGGTGTGGCGAGCCATACTGGTGTAGCAGGAGAGGACAGCAAGTGTGGCCGGAAGATTCAAGGACAATCAAAGAAACATTTAATCATTTCAGTATTGTATCGTATGGTGTGTGTGTGTGTGTGTGTGTGTGTGTGTGTGTATATATATATATATATATATATATATATATATAAAGGTAAAGTGACCCCTGACCATTAGGTCCGGTCGTGGCCGACTCTGGGGTTGTGGCGCCACCCACGTCCCATATATATATATATATATATATATATATATATATATATAAAGCTCACACCTCTTATTGAGCATACATACATACTTAAGGTACATATATATATTTTTTATCATTATTGGAGAGGGTCCTTTTGTAGCTGCATTGTTTTATACCTTCTGGATGTACCATGACCATATTATAAAGTAGTTGTATTCTGTGTTATAAGTCAAGCACTGCTAGGAGTTGTTTCCTTCTGTTTCTCTGTGTATTTCTTATTAATAAAATAATTGGGTGTGACATGAGCAAATTTTTATTCTGAACGTCTTCCCTAAAGAAGAAAGTTTGAGAAGCACTGACTTATAACATATGAAAAGATATGAGCTTTAAAGCTAAATAAATTTTGGTTGTGATCCAAAGAAACCAAGTCCCTCCAATGCGATTGGCAAGTATTTGACAATGTTGATATTTTATATTGTTTTGATTGACTGATGGCATTTATTGTAATTTTATTTATTTTACTTTTACTTAAACTGATGGAATATGCGCAGCTTGCAGACTTAACATATAGAATAAGAGAACCAGAAGAACATACGTTTAAAACTGGAAAATGTTTATTGAATATATGGAGGGAAATTGTGAATATTTGAAAACGTGGGCAGCATTAAGATAAATTCAACATTGTAGGTAAGTTTTGTGTTTTTTTAAAAAAATAATCTTTATTGCTTTTAAAACTTACAAGAAAAGAAGAAAGAAGAAAATAGGCAAAAGAAAAAGACAAAAAAGAGCAGAGAAGAAAAAAGAGAGAAAGAAAAGAAAAAACAATACAATACAATAAACAATACAAAACACAACCTTAACACACTAAACTAAACAAAGCAAAAGAACAACAATTTAAAAACATATATCATACCATTTCATTACTCTTTCATTCCCTTATTTCATCGACCTCCTCTCACCTCCCTTTTTGTATTCCACTTTTATTACTTGTTTCAGCAATTCCTTTCCATCTTTCTCTATTTTTATCATTATAAATATCTTAACATATTTTGTACCTTATTTTCCATTAATACTGAAATACTTATTTATACCTAACTCCTTATAACATTTCTGCTAAAGCCATAAAATTTCATTCCAACAATTTTCTAACACTCATTAAATTTACAATATTTCTATATATAAACTTTAAACTTTCCCAATCTTCTACCACCATCTCTTTTCCCTGGTCTCGGATTCTGCCAGTCATTTCCGTCCATTCCATATAGTTCATCAACCTGGAGATCTTCTGTCCGAGGCTCTTAAATCTTTTCCAAGTCCCTTCTGCAGTTTTTCTTCATATTCTTTGATGCTGGGGGTGCTGAAGCGCAGGTCTTGGGGGGGCCCAGACCCAACCATGCCCCCATTCCCTCTCGACAGACCAACCAACTCTCCGCAGCTAAAACCAGTGTCCATACAATATCTCAAATCATGTTTCAAGGCTCCTCCAAATCCAAAGGCCCCCACAACTCCAATCACCTCCTGAACCAGATTCAGAACCCAAAGGTCAGTAAATCTCTGCATGAAAGAGTCTATCCAACCTTCCTTCTTCAATCCAAACAGGGCTCCAATCTTCAAATTCTGACTTTTTCTATATTCATTCATAAAAGGCCTCCACTTATAGTCCTCAGTTTGCCTCTGTAAAACTGGGGCTTCCACTTGTACTATTTTAGGTTTAACAACACCAACATTCTCCGTCTTCTCCCCAGTTTGTCCTGTCAAGTTAGGTTCCTGTGTCAAATCCTGAACAATTTCTGTATTTATGGTCACTTTTTGTTCCAAATTAGTCACTTTTTGTCCCAAGTTCTCAAGTTTGGTATTCATAGCGTCCGTCTTCTTGTGGAGCTGTTCCAACGAATAGCTTATCTTACATAATACAGTCACTAAGGCTCCTTCTGTCAACATTCTTAAAATCCAAGATCAATCTCTATTTCACACAGTTCTTATCTTGCAACTGGAAAAACCCCAGCTCCACTCTTGTAACAGTTTCAAAAGCTCCCTCTAGAGGGAAACAGTCTCCACTTGTATCAATCCTTTCAAACACAGTTTAAACTATAAAGATAGTTTCTTTTCCTACTTTTTAAACACAGATGAGTACAATGGAAACAATATATTTCTCTTATTGCTAGCTGTCAAAAAACGTCACTCTTTCTGGCAGCCCGTTTCCAGGTTTGGAGCAGTGGTAATTTGGTTTTTCACTCTCTCCTGCAGGCTCACTAGGTCCAAAATTTCCCCCCTCTTCTCCTGCTTCCAAGGGGGGTTTAATAGTTTTAACCGATGGAGATTTAATCCTTTACAAAAATAAACTTTCCAAGGCTTTAACTTGCAACTTCTTTGCTTCAATCTGTTTACAAAAAAGGAAGGCGGACTTCCTGTTTAGAACCTTCCCGTTTCAATGCCAAATTAATGAATTTAAGGATCTAATTTTCCGTTCTACTTACGGGTAGTTGTTTAAAATCCAATTGTCCACAGGAAAAAGTCAGCGCTCTCTGGCAACAGTGATGTGGCTTCACTCCGTGAAAGAAGCAGTCAATTTGAAGCACCGCGCCACTCACCCCACTTCACTTTGGATCCCCAAATCAGGGTTTCCCCGCGAGTAGGGGAGGCGCAAAGGGTGCCAGCTGAATCCCAAGTTCACAGGCTTCTCCTGCCTGTGATTTCAGTGGGTCTCCGCCTTCGCCGTGGCGGTCAGACCCTAATTTCCGCGGAGCAAATTCCTCCCGATCGGAGGAACTCCGCCATTGCCTGGAGGCGCCAACCCGGAAGGTAAGTTTTGATGGATGTAATAATGGAATACTGAGCGGTTTAGTTTATATAAAATATGCAGGGATTTATGTTATGCAAAATGAACCATGGAAAGCGAAGAAGGGAAGTCATTGATATTTCAAGGTTGTTTCAATGAATATTCTAAAATGTAAAACAGAAAAATTAATAAAAATTATAGGGTGGGGGGGGGAGGAACACAGTAATAAATCAAAAAGCTAAGAAGTGTGCTGCCTTTTCATGACACTGACACCCCAAAGCAGTTGGTTGAGGCTGCCGCCTCATTCTGCCTAATGAGAGGGCCAGTCCTGTGGAAACAAACTTTCCTGAGAGCAGCTTCGCATGTCACCAAGGAGCCCCTTCTTTTCAATGCTGCCTGGGTGGCCATGAAGGAGAGATACATGGGCTCTCCTTGCAACAGAAGCACAGGTGTCCTTGTCTCCGCTCTTTGACAAACCTTTTTTTTAAAATAAAGAAAGTGAGCCTCCCACTTCCTCTTTTATTCATTCCTAGTACAGTGGTACCTTGGGTTAAGTACTTAATTCATTCCGGAGGTCTGTTCTTAACCTGAAACTGTTCTTAACCTGAGGTATCACTTTAGCTAATGGGGCCTCCAGCTGCTGCCGCGCCACCAGAGCGCGATTTCTGTTCTCATCCTGAAGCAAAGTTCTTAACCTGAAGCACTATTTCTGGGTTAGCGGAGTCTGTAACCTGAAGCATATGTAACCTGAAGCGTATGTAACCCAAGGTACCACTGTAAAGTGTTTTCTCCGATCTCCCAGGAGATCCAGCCATTTAGCAAAGCTGTTCTCTGTGGACACCCTGTCCTGAAATATCCCTATCAACAGCCCCATCAGATCTTTCACAGGCACTTTTCAAAAGAGGGGTTAGTTAGAGCTCTCGCCATAAATTGTTTACAGATAAGCAGTGTTGCCAGGCGGCCGCAGCGCAAATGGCCACTTTCCTCTCCTAAGGCCCTTTGTTGCATTTGCAGAACACTTTTGGTTAAGGATTCATCTATCCATCTTTTTTGCAACTCTCTGCATAAAAGGGCCATCTGTGTGCATGGAAGCAACTCCTGTCCTAACTGGCAGAGATAAGAAGCTTTCAGGCTACATATTTTTTCTTACTCCCTTCTTATGTTTTTTTTTGGGGGGGGAGGGGTGAAGAGTGAGGGAGAGATAGAATACAAAATGGCTCAGAATGTGCACTGAATTGTTTTTAGAGAGTATTTAGAGCCTATGGAAGCAGTCAGCCAGATAGCCCCCGAGGCGGAACATCTTTCTTTATCTAGAGAAAACATCCAGCAGCCACACTATGGAAATGTAGGCTTCCCCACACTTCCTATATATCTTAAAGCATCTCCTGGGGATGATGTGGGATTCTATTACCCAGAAAAGGGCAGCCTCTTAGAGAGAGAATTTTAATCAAATATTTGTTTCCACTTCATTACTCTTCCTGCAAAACCCATAGGTACTTACCCTCCCTCCCCTTCCTTTTCTTACCCTGAGTACTTCATTCCTGGTTGTTCAGTGCGAAGCTTTAATTCACAACGTCCTTCACAAATTACTCCAAAGGAAAACATGCACACAACCAAGCAGATATGTCACACCAGTCCATGAGCTTCCAGGTAAGAAAAGTTTGCAGATCTCAGCATGAAATTGCTGGGGACTCAGCTAGATTGGTAAAGTGTTTTATATGCATTGTATATGCAATATAACACTGTGACACTAGATGGTGCTGTGGAGTCCCGTCTTTCCCTACTGGATTTCCCTGTATGAGTTTACAACATATTTAACTGAAATACTTATTTGATGTGTCTAGATCCAGCCTGGGTGTAACCCTCTCCCACTTCCTTCTTCTCTCCGTCTCCTTCAGCAGAGGTGCGATTTCATTCACCTGCTGGGATGCTGCTACATTAGGAACCCAGGGAAATATTCCCTGAGGTTGATGGCGTGGAACTCTGAAGAGAACTCCTCCAGAAGAATCCCTGCTACGGTCTTAAGGCACGCTGAAGCACCTAGTCTCATGGACATTTCACCTGGGCCTCCCAAACACTTCCTGAGCCCTGCTTAGGTGTCTGAAAAACAAAGCTGGCATAGTTGAAACCCCAAGTCAGTGTGGGAATGTTCCTGGCTGCCAGGAGGCCTTATCTCCTGGAGTCTCCTTGGGAAGAAGGGTTTCTTGGGAGGGCAGAGAAGTAAAAGGAGCTGCAACTACAGTGGTACCTCAGGTTACATACACTTCAGGTTACAAACGCTTCAGGTTACAGAC